AGCAGGGACGTTCAAACCGCTCTGTGTTTTTAGGAAGCTGCTGCTCCTCTGCTTCTCTCATGGCGGTCAGATCCTCCGTCAGGATGAGAGAATTTCCTGAAGTGTTTGGGTCCAGAATCACAGGACAGTAGGAGACCATGTCCTTCATCTTGTTCCAGATGATGAAGAGCAGGTTGCCCTCGTGTTTGGCCAAATCCATCAGAGCTTCTGGGGGCAGCTGTGGATCCTCCAGCAGGGGGCGCTGCTGGACTCTTTCCACTGCAGCCTTGTAGTTTCTGAGGAACGAGACGTCGTCGGCTCTCAGCTCGTCCTCTGTGGCTCTGATGGTCTCTGACAGAGCTTCTATCTCTCTGCTCAGAGCCTCCATCTCCTCGTTTATCCTGTCACTTTTCTGATCATGTTCCTCGGACACGGCCACCAGCCTGGCCTCCTCCTCCTCCTCGAGAAACTGCCGAATCCGAGCGAACTGCTCTATGATCTGTGTCTCTGAGTGATGTGCCTGAGAATAAATGTGATCTATGGTCTGATCAAACTTCTCTTTGACTTGTTCTAACCTCTTCAGCTTCTCCTTTAAGGGCTCCAGAGTTTCCTGAAGGTTCTTCTTGGGTTGTCGAGCAGCTTCATCGATGGGTCTGAATCTGTGGTCGGTGTGTTTTTCTGAATCTCTGCAGATGAGACACACCGGCTCCTGATGGTCCAGACAGAACAGTTTGAGTTTCTCAGAGTGCAGAACGCAGAAGTTCTCTGAAACTCTCTGATCTCGCTCCAGTAAGAAGGACTCACACAGGTTCTTTAAGACCAGGTTACAAGGAGGAGTTTTGTTTGAAGTGATCGTCTTACAAACTGGACACTGAAGTGTCTGTGTCTGTCTCCACCAGCTCTGCAGACAGTCTTTACAGAGGCTGTGGCTGCACGTCAGGACAACGGGATTCTTAAAGACGTCGTGACAGACCGGGCAGCAGAGATCCTCCTCTGATCTGGGCGCCATTTTTCCCCCTCTGAGTGAAGCTTAAAACAAAGAAGACAGCATGTTAGAACACTTTGTACTTCTGTAAATGTAAAAACTTATGCACAGATTCCCCCGGTCAGTAACTGCTCAGTTTCACATCGCTTTTAAAAACCAAGCGAGCTACAACCTGGTTTTACTCCAGGATGAAGTCATTGAATCATTTTGTTGTTCGTAATCTTTTCACCAGCTTGAAAAAATATAGTTTCCTCTTCTACCTTGGAAAAGTGAGTGAAGAGCAGAGTGAATCTTAATGAACACAGAGAACGGGCAGGTCATTTTATCAGCACTGAAATCAGAGAGAAAGCCAGTTAACTCTTCATGCCAGCAGGGGGCGCTAGTCCGTTGTTATGATACCAGAAGACCATTTTCGTATTTGGAATCGGTTGAGATGCTCCTCTTTTATCGTTTCGCGCCACGGGACCTCTTTTCAACAAAGCAGCAAAAGTCGACAGAACACCCGCCGTGCATAAACACGACTCTAAGTAGAAGGAGGGTGTTACGGTGTGAATAGTAACCGTGTTAACTGGTGACAAACCCTAACACGACTCTTTCTCATGAACATTAGGCAGTAGTTCACAGTCTACAACACTGTGGTTCAAAATAAGTGTTGCTCTTCTTAACCAATGTTCCGTTGGTAAGTTCTTGACCCGGGTAGGACGACTTTTAGGATACATTTTAAAACTTCATCGAGGTTCGGTCACTACAGCTTCGAGTGTTCCGTTTGCTCGTCACATGTAACTGAAGTTAAATATTTTATTATTTATAAATCAGAACTTTGTTAGAATTTGACATTTGTTTTATTCCTCCCTCCTATTAATTATAATCTAAGAAAGATTTACCGTAAGTGTGTTCGTCTTCTTCTTCTTCTTCTTCTCTGCCGCCAATACATCCGGTTCAGATTCACATGGAATGTTTCCGCCAGCAAAGGGGCGGGGCCGGCATCGTTTGGGCAAAGTACCCGGATGAGTTGCTCTCATTGTTGTTGCATTACTGCCACCTGCTGGATTGTAGCAGTAGGTGTGTGTCGAGATGAAGGATTTGTTTTGTAATAAACTTGATTTCGAAGTAGAAATTTAAACACAGCACAGAATTACAAACAATTACATAAAATAAAATAAAAAATAAAAGTGAAGAAGAGAAGTCAGGAACAACAAAACAAACCAGGTAAATAAGAATATTTATTTTGTATTTTTGATAAACTATATTAACCCCTGAGGGTGAAACTCTGTGTTTACACGTTGTTATGTAGAGACACACATGAACAAACAGGAGCTGTGGACGTGCCTCAGTGGAGAGATGTCAGAGTGGGGCTGCTGCACAGGGAGCGCACCAGAGCGGTTGGGGGTTAGGAGACTTGCTCAAGGGCATCTTGGCAGTGCTGGGAAGTGCCCTGGCACCTCTTCAGCTACCAGACCAACTTCCATATAATGGTCCGCACCTGGACTTGAACCGGTGACCCTCTGGTTCCCAACCCAAGTCCCGACAGACTGAGCATCAGATACAGCATAAGAACATCATTTAATAACGAGGGCTGTCAGCATTAACGAGTTAAAGTCTGAAATTGAGATTAATAGAGATTTTTTTAAATCTCAATTAATCTCTTGCTATTTTGTCCCTTCAGGTGCACCATAGATACGCGTCTTCAGCGTCTCCCTGTCACAGTGATGTTAAAGAAAGACACTGCTGCATCTTTGAATGTCAACACGGGACAGCAGCTGAAAGTTACCTGAGCTCCGTCAGCATGAGAGGTGTAGATCGCTTCTCTCCACATTTAGGGCGCCTGAACAACTCCACTTTGTGAATCAGACGTTAAGACGGAGCAGATGGAGGGAGCCAATGACACACAATGTTTGGAGAGTCAATCAGGCCCTCAGTTTGTTTCTTGCTGCTTCCTGTTTGAGATGTATTTTGGATGACTGACGTCTTTATGCATGAAGGCAGTAAGAGAAACAGAAAAGAGAAGAGAAAAGCAGGAAGATGAAAAGATCACACCATGAATATGAAACCCTTGTTCTCAGGTCTTCTTGTTTATTCTCTGGTTAAAATGTCAGTTATTGATGCAGCCACGTGACGCTCATTTACATGTGAACAAAGTTGTTAGGAATGTTTTTTTAAGTTAGAGCAGAGCAGGTCCACTTACTGTGACTGACAGCAGGCCGAGGCTCCGCCCCTCCGCAGAGCGTGCAGAGAAAGGAGAGGAATGCGTCATTGTTGTCGTGCTGCGTGAGAGGAGGAGCAACAATAGTAAGTGTGCTGCACGCCGCATGCTTCAAATACCGTTCCCACCGCTCGATCAGCAGATCAACAGAGATTCAACAGTCGATCACTTTGTGCCACATTCTCATGGAAATGTTAAGCTGCTTATTACCATACGGCTGCACTTACAGGCCATATACTGGGAGAGCTGGGGGGAAACTGGGACGCACACTTCCCAGTGGTTTGTGGTCTTTGTCCTCTGAGGAGCAGCTGGACCGTCCTCAGTCTGACGCCGTGTTTGCTCTGCTGGCGCCAAACTCCCGCCAAAAAACTTGAGCACTGAAATCTGAAGTCAAGTTTAGAGTTTAAACCCAGACGACATTTTCCTCATAACAGATTTGATAATTATCTATGATGTCATAACCATCACAGGTAGACTGACCACGAGCTACCTGAGTGTGAAACGACGGTTTACGCTCCTGGAGGAAAAGTTTGTCTGATATCGACCTTTAAGAACTACGCGGTTTAATCTCGATATCGGGGAAAAGAACGACACTACCCCGGATCACAGAGTGTCACAGCGACGTCTGTGATTGGACGATCTCGCTGTTACCATGGCAATGTTCCCCGTCCTTTTCATGCTGCAGTGAGTGTAATTTATATTCAACAACACAAACTAGACACACCAGCATGAAACCAAAACAACTTGCGCTGCATTGCTGTGTTAGCATGCTAATGCTAGTGATCTTTATTCTGCTGGTATCTTCACACTGCATGTAAATTGACCTGAAATGAGCGTGATCTAGAAACACAGTTAAGCAGTGAGTACAGTATGTTATTCTTCTTTTCTCTAGTCCCTCAATTAAACAACTTTTATACACGAGGGGAGGAGTCAGCCGGCTGTCCAGGCGATGTAAACAAAGTGAAGATAGGACTCTGAAAACTGTGAAAACATCACAGACAGTGGGACTCGGGTGTTACACCCATTGTAGACAGTCATGACTCACAGAGTTATTTTCAGAGGATATACTGGATTTCTACATTTAAGTGTGAAACATCACATATAAAGACTTTAAGAAGAAGAGTGATCATTCCTAATGCTTTGTGGGATATGTAGTTCCCTGACTACAGAAGAAACACATGTACACAGTCTTGTACCTTTTATTCTGTTTTAACACAGTGTTTGCATTGAATCAAATGTTTTTCAATCAGGAGAGAAAAGTTAATGAATTAAAGATAAATATTTATTTCTTAGATTCGTTATTGAAATATTGTTTGAGAATCTTTGGCGCTTAAACTCCACAGTGAGATCAGAGATACCCTGAGGAGTCCAGAAGTCACACTGATGGAATCTCTAAAAAAGTTTACTGACAACTCAAGTGCTGTGTGTGTGTGTGTGTGTGTGTGTGTGTGTGTGTGTGTGTGTGTGTGTGTGTGTTGGCTCTCCAGTAGCTGTCCAGATGGCCCATTGAGTCCAGAGCATAAAGGGGGGGGGGGGCTGCAGGATCAGTGGTGGTCGCCGCAGGGTGATCTGACCCTGAAGTGTGGGAACGAGGAGCAGCACGCCGCTCTCACACATTCCTTAGTGACACACACACACACACACTCATGGAGACGTGTTGTTGGTCGTGTGCTTGTGTGGAGGGGGGGGGGATGTGCTGGAATGTTTTCTGTCATTGCTCATCGGTCAGAAACGCGGCAGGAGGACCACAGAAGAAGAAAAAGATGAGGAGATTTCTGCTTCAGATGTCCTCACCTCTCAGTGAATGAAAACACAACGTGTCACTTCTTCACACACACACAGAGATCCTGCTGCCAGCTCCATCACACATCGCCCACCGTAACGCCTCCGTTAGTACCTCGAACAGATTTCAGGCTGCCCCTGAAACCTTCCTAACTTCTCTGTTCAAACACTGACGTCCATTAATAACTCTTATCCTTCATCAAATCAAAACTGATGAGTCATCAAAACATTCACCCCCCGTACAGTGTGTGTCCATCCAGACATGAGCTAATCACACCTATTTGGTTTTTTGAACCAGGCTGTAAACATGTTCATCTCTGCTGTAAAAACAGGCTTTTTAGAATGGGTGTGTATGTGACTTCCTGTGCTTCTGCAGCCAGCCTCTAGTGGACACTCCAGGAACTGCAGGTTTTACACTTCAGCATCGGCTTCATGTTTCAACACTGGAGGTTGCTGATTGGCTCTTAAATTGTCCCACATTCAATATTTACCGGTGCAGGAAGAAGTCCTAATTTCTGTGTTTACACGTGCAGCTCACTCCTTTTTCACATACATGTAGAAACTCCTGGATGTTTGTAGAAAGCTTCAGATTGTGAATTCATTTTGACTCGCTTGTTCACACAGAGCGGGAGGCCATCGCTGACCGACGTCTCAGCAGACGTGCAGTAATCAGTAGCTGAGTAGAAACACACTGATCTCTCATGAGGGGTTTGGTTGATGTGAACGAGGGCGGGAAGGCTCAGAGAGACGGTGCACACGTGGCCCCCCGGCTCAGAAGAGCCTCTGATCTGATCCCACAGGTTGAAAGGAGGAGGGGGGGGGCATGGGGGGGGGGGGGCATCTATTGACTGGAGGATGTGTGTGAGCAGGATCCCAGCCTCCTTTCCACACTCTCAGTCCATTTATTACACACTCAGCTTAAAGAGGGGGGGGAGGTGTCACACAATAGAAGTGTGCCCTCCCAGAGGACTCTGGGTAATGGCCTTTAAGTGACAGTCACAAGTTTTCCCTCCAATTCTCAACGACTCTCTGCAGCTCCTCTGATTCATGTTTCAGGAGCTTCTTCATGTTCAAATGTTTCAATAATTATCAAATCAATTCATGTTTGTGAAATGTGCAAAATAAAAACATCTGTTGCACGACTTGGATTATGAAGCATGAATGAATCTGACTTTGAGATGAAACATTTCAAGCTGCAGATTTGTTTTTGTGTCAGAGAGACAATCTTTACTCATTTTAAAGAAGAGGTGACCTTAATAACACTTCCTCCTCTGCTCTGTGTTCATGTTTCTGTTAATATATAAAAAATATTTTGATGAATCTTTTTAAAAATGTGATCTTTTATATAAATTATTCCTCGACGTTTCTTTCTTTAAATCAAAGAGAAGTCGACGCTGTGTTTTCTGTTTCCTCTCTCCGACAGGTTCAGGGATAAAATCTGCAGATTTGATAACAAATAGAAGTTTCTTTCTTTACTAATAATTGTGTTTTTATTGCTGTGGGTGCAGCTGTGAGCTGAGTGTGTGTGGAGCAGATAAAGTGAGCTGCAGTCAGAGATCTTATCTTTATGTGTTTAGTGTCAGGAGCACATCTGCAGCAGGAAGGTTCCCAGGTAATAAAAGAGAGAGAGAGAGAGAGTGTGTCTATTGTTGCCTCAGAGTGTGGGAAAGCTAATGTTGCCTGGGCCTCATGGCTTTGTGATGCTAATGTGTTCCTATAAATAGAGGAGGGGGCTCACTGTGCTCTCCACAGAAGCTCCTCTCTGCTCCTCCATGGCTCCCTGCTCGTCCACACACTCTGCACTCTCCCTGCACTCCTCCAAAGACAGACACAAAGTAAGTCCTCCTCCTCTGAGTCTCTGCTCTCCTGTTTCTCTGTCACGTCCCTGAACGTGTCTCTGACCGGCTCCCTCTTTTCTTCTCCAGATGAGGAAACCTGTGGTGGAGAAGATGCGCAGAGATCGCATCAACAGCTGCATCGAGCAGCTCAAGGTGCTGCTGGAGAAGGAGTTCCACAAACAAGATCCCAACGCCAAGCTGGAGAAGGCCGACGTGCTGGAGATGACCGTGGCGTTCCTGAAGCAGCAGCTGCAGCCTCAGAGCCCGCAGAGCCACGGCTACTCCCGCTGCTGGAAGGAGACGCTCGCCTTCCTGTCCAAAGACTCCCTGAAGGACGCCACGCTGCCTCACCTCGTCCACAGAGACGGCCGGGACATCAGCTCCTCCCACGGACACATCCAGGCTGCAGAGAAGCAGCTGACAGGCCCGCACGGCGCCGTGTGGAGGCCATGGTAGAAGAAGAAGAAGAAGAAGAAGAAGAAGAAGAAGAAGAAGAAGAAGAAGAAGAAGAAGAAGAAGAAGAAGAAGAAGAAGAAGAAGAAGAAGAAGAAGAAGAAGAAGAAGGACTTTCTTCATCATTTATCTGACGGACATTTTCACCTTCTTTATTTTGAAAAGAAAGAGGAAGTGACATCATGTTTCTTCATATTGAAGTTTCAGTGTGTGTGCTCTGTTGATGCACCGTGATGTGTGTCAGGACACCATGTGTGTGTGTGTGTCAGGACACCGTGTGTGTGTGTGTGTGTCAGTGTGTATCTGATGATCACTGTGTGTTTGCTGCCTCTTGTAAAGGCTCTGTAGGGACTCACCTGTTCCTGTGAAGGTGTTACTCTGCTGTGTAATGATGTGTACACACTGTGTGTGTGTGTGTGTGTGTGTGTGTGTGTGTGTGTGTGTGAAAACATGTTAAAATGTGTGAAAACAACAAAAACACTTTTCCTGTGGAAAGTTCAAACAAGTACTTGAGAAATCTCCAAATAAAATAATATTTGACTCAAATGATTTTCTGTGTTTGTCTTTTCTCAAAGAAATCATTTTAGATTATTCTGCTGCTCAGTGTGTTCACAGTGTGTGTGTGTGTGTGTGTGTGTGTGTGTGTGTGTGTGTGTGTTACCAGTTGAAGCAGCTTCTGACGTCCTGGGTTTAATGGTCTCGTCACTTTCCCACACGTACAACCAGGACAAGAGAGATAAGATAACACTAATCATTATGTAGCGTGTGTGTGTGTGTGTGTGTGTGTGTGTGTGTGTGTGTGTGTGTGTGTGTGTGTGTGTGTGTGTGTGTGTGTGTGTGTGTGTGTGTGTGTGTGTGTGTGTGTGTGTGTGTGTGTGTGTGTGTGTGTGTGTGTGTGTAGGGTTGGGGGGGGGGGCTTTGGCTTAATCTGTGATTTTAGGGTCGGCTCAGAAAAATAGAAGAAAAAGCTGAAATAGTGATTTTGATGTTTTTTACTCTTTGGACTTCTTCTTCTTTTTTTGGGTCTTTTTTCCTTTATTATTGAACAGCTGTAGAGAGACAGGAAATGATGGGAGGAGGAGGAGGGGGGACGGGGGGGCGACATGCAGCAAATGGTCGAGGTGGGATTCAGACCCTGTAGACCAGGGTAGACCGTAGACCGCTAGGCTATGCTGAGACACAAACCAAAGTGAGACTCTCTCTCACATCAACGCTCGGGGAAATCGGGTGGAACCGGGCCTTACTTTGGGACGGGCATCGAAACAAGACAGGCCTTTAATTCTTTTTAAATAAAACTTGTGCACGGCGAAGACAGGGAAGACTTTAAAAGTTACACCAGAAAGAATATCTAACTGTGAACACACTCCTCATGTCGACCTGCTACAAACTATTTCAACACTAAACACACAAAGGCCTTTAAAACCGTTTTCACATCTGACCTCCTGAAAGTATCTGGATCATTTCAGGAAACAGGAAGCATGCAGCAGCAGGTTGATTAGAGCACGGAGATGGTAGAGGTGGCGTGCAGACAGTCTATGGCCGTGCAGCGATCACAGTGAATAAAGGTCACCACCCCCTCCCACTGGCTCCTCCCACTGGCTCCTCCCACTGGCTCCTCCCACTGGCTCCAGGTGAATTCTCCTGATTATATCCTGCTGTGTTCTCACATCAGCTCACTCTGACTTTCTGCAGAATAAACACGAGGAGGCTGGAGGAGAAACTCAGAGTGAAGAGAGAAACATTCAGATGTTTGAGTGATCACATGACGCTCAGAGTGAAGAGAGAAACATTCAGATGTTTGAGTGATCACATGACACTCAGAGTGAAGAGAGAAACATTCAGATGTTTGAGTGATCACATGACGCTCAGAGTGAAGAGAGAAACATTCAGATGTTTGAGTGATCACATGACGCTCAGAGTGAAGAGAGAAACATTCAGATGTTTGTGATCACATGACGCTCAGAGTGAAGAGAGAAACATTCAGATGTTTGAGTGATCACATGACGCTCAGAGTGAAGAGAGAAACATTCAGATGTTTGAGTGATCACATGACGCTCAGAGTGAAGAGAGAAACATTCAGGTGTTTGAGTGATCACATGACGCTCAGAGTGAAGAGAGAAACATTCAGGTGTTTGAGTGATCACATGACGCTCAGAGTGAAGAGAGAAACATTCAGATGTTTGAGTGATCACATGACACTCAGAGTGAAGAGAGAAACATTCAGATGTTTGAGTGATCACATGACACTCAGAGTGAAGAGAGAAACATTCAGATGTTGAGTGATCACATGACGCTCAGAGTGAAGAGAGA